GGCAGGGCACAATGGCGATGGTTGTCTCTGTTCCATGCTGTCTGCAGCCCCCAGTGGGAATAATTGAAAGTTGAGTGACTTACCACCTGGCAGCTGGCATCATCAGAAAGCGGCTTTATTCATCCATGACTTACGATGGATTCTGGCTGGATATTCAGCTGAGGTGTTGGCGGGGACAGCCGCCCAGTGGTCTCGCTTTTGGTCACACAGTCACCAACATTGTCTAGGTTCAAGGGTAGGGATCAGAGACCTTGTCACTCACAGGAGTCTCAGGGCCGCATTGTCACAGTTGCATACAAAGGATTGTATATAGAACATGTAGGATAGGACATATTTTTTAAAACATTTATTTATTGTATTCGGCTGCATCTGGCCTTAGTTGTGCCGTGTGGGATGTTCACTGCGTCATTCAGTGTCGTTCATTGCGGCACTCAAACTCAGTAGTTGTGATGCTCAGCCTTAGTTGGTTCATGGCATATGGGCTCTTACTGCCCTGGCCAGGGATCAAACCCACAATCCCTGCATTGCAAGGCGGATTCTTAACCACTGGGCTACCAGGGAAGTCCCAGGGCATATTATTGAGGCCTCTTTGGAAACTACAGTCTGCTACCTCTGGTTCATAATATAAAATGTATTTCTTACTGTGTTTAGTGGTTTTTTTAAAAAAGGTTGGAAAAAAAAAAGTCTGCTCAGGAACTTCCCCGATGGTCCAGTGATTAGGACTCTATGCTTTCACTGCAGGGTGCACAAGTTCAATCCCTGGTCAGGGAACTAAGAACACATGCCACACAGAGAAAATAATTTAAAAAATGAAATAAAGTGTCTGCTCGATATTGTCCGTAGTATGAATAAACTATAATTATTCTGTCATGCTGTTTTGATGGACATTTGTTTCCAATTTTTCTTGACTGCAGAAATGGTGCTTCAGTAAACTGCCCTTACTGTATCCCCATGTGCCCGCTCAGGGAGCTAACTTTGAGGTGCTCAACAAGCCTGTCCCCAAGGTTTGCTGAGGGACACGTAACCAGCGTGGTTGAAGTCCAGTGAATGAAGTGGATTGAAGGAGGAGGTGAAGTGAATAGTGTTAAGTAGTGCCCAGCCATGCTGGAAATATAAGCCAGGGCAAGAGTTTCTGGTTTTATTCCAAGGACAATGGGGAGCCATGGGAGGTCTCTGAGTGGAGCAGTAATGAATATGACTTATGATTCTCCTCTGGCTTCTGAAGAGAAAAAACATTGATGGAGCAAAATGTAGAGAAGCAGGAAGACCCATTAGGAGGTAGAAGGGGCATTAGGAGGTAGAAGTACCCATTAGGGGTACGAGGGTGGTCCCTGACCTGCACTGGCCTCAGGGCATTTGCATTACTTTTCCTGCTGCCAAGCTTAGAACTATCTCCCAGGATCTACAGCTGGTGGGCTCTTTTTTTTTCTTCTGTTTTTTGGCCATGCCTTTCGGCATGCAGGATCTTAGTTCCCTGAGGATTGAACCTGAGTCCCCTGCAGGGGAAGTGTGGTGTCTTAACCACCGGACCACCAGGGAAGCCCCATGGTGTGTGTGTGTGTTAGTTGCTCAGTCATATCTGACTCTTTGAGACCCCATGGACTGTAGCCCGCCAGCCTCCTTTCTCCATGAAATTCCCCATGCAAGAATACTAGAGTGGGTTGCCATTTCCTTCTCCAGGGAGTCTTCACAACCCAGGGATCAAACTCAGGTCTCCTGCATTGCAAGCAAATGCTTTACCATCTGAGCTACTAGGTCCCCTGTGGTAGGCTGTTCCTTGTCATTCAGGTTTGACTCAGCAGACACCTTCCTGGCTTCTTGGAACTTTGTTTGTGCTAAGTCACTTGTGTCCAACTCTGTGACCCCATGGACTGCCTGCCAGGCTCCTGTGTCCATGGAATTTCCCAGGCAAGAATACTGGAGTGGGTAGCCATTTCCTCCTCCAGGAGATCTTCCCAACCCAGGGATGGAACACATGTCTCCTGCATTGGCAGGTGGGTGCTTTACCACTAGCACCGCCTGGGAAGCCCTTGGAACTTTGAAGACATACAGAATGAAGTAGAGTCGGTCCCTGACCTCAAACACCTCAGTCTTGTGGGTGAGACATACAAATAATTACAGTGAAGATGAAGCAGGAAGAAAGTGCCTGGAATGGGGCTGATAGGCAGACAGGTGTGAATTTCTGAGCTAATTTGCTACCAGACCAGGAAATTTGGGGACCACGGGGTTCCCAGGTGGTGCTAGTGGTAAAGAATCTGTCTGCCAATGCAGGAGATGCAGGAGACACGGGAGTTGGTCCCTAGTTTGGGAAGATCACCTGGAAGAGGAAATGGCAACCCACTTCAGTATCCTTGCCTGGAAAATTCCAAGGACAGAGGAGCCTGGCAGGCTACAGTCCATGGGGTTGCAAAGAGTCAGACACAACTGAGCACATGCATGCATGCTGAGTTGTAAGCTGGGACTCCAATGTAGTAATTGATTTGCAGCACAGTCTGGACAAGTGTCTCTAACATGCAGCCAGGAACTTGAACCACTGATAAGGAGCAAACTTGCAGTAGAGTAAGTGCAAAAAGCCAGGTGCAGAAGAACCACTTTTGAGAATTTTCTTTGCAAGATGGTTTGTGACGGTTAAAAAAATGGATAATGGAGAAAAAATTGGGGAGTATGTATGTGCAGTGAAATACTCTTAAGCAGTAAAAATGAAGGAACATGAAGGGGAGGACAGATGAAAGTTAAAAGGATACATTAAGATATCATATATATTGTTTTATACAAAACAATTTTATGTATCTTTTCTGAATGGACAGGTACATAGTAAAACTGTGAATACCAGTCCTGGGGATTAAAATTGGCTAATTCAAGGATTAAGGACAATATAAAGCCAGTTTCTCTCATATTTGTAACCTTTTATTTCTTAATTGGGTTAATTGTTCAGTCACTAAGTCACATCCGACTCTTTGTGACCCCATGAACTGCAGCATGCCAGGTTTCCCTGTCCTTCACTGTCTCCTGGAGTTTGCTCAAATTCATGTTCATTGAGTTGGTGATGCCATCCAACCATCTTATCCTCTGTCTCCCCCTTCTCCTCCTGCCTTCAACCTTTCCCAACATTGGGATCTTTTCCAGTAAGTGAGTTCTTCGAAACAGGTGGCCAAAGTATTGGAGCTTCAGGTTCAGCATCAGTCCTTCCAATGAATATTCAGGATTGATTTCCTTTAGGACTGACTGTCTTGATTTCCTTTCTGTCTAAGGGACTCTCAAGAGTCTTCCCCAGCACCACAGTTTGAAAGCATCAATTCTTTGGTGCTCAGACTTCTTTACGGTCCAACTCACATCCATCCATGACTACTGGAAAAACCATAGCTCTGACTACACGGATCTTTGTCAGCAAGGTGATGTCTCTGCTTTTTATTTTTTTATTTTTATTTATTTATTTTTATGTCTCTGCTTTTTAATATGCTGTCTAGGTTCGTCATAACTTTTCTTCCAAGAAGCAAGTGTCTTTTAATTTCGTGGTTGTAGTCACCATATGCAGTGCTTTTGAAGCCCAAGAAAATAAAAACTATCATTGTTTCCACTTTCCCCCCATCTATTTGCCGTGCAGTGATGGGACTGAATGCCATGATCTTAGTTTTTTGAAAGTTGAGGTTTTTTTTTTTGAATGTTGAGTTTTAAGCCGGCTTTTTCACTCTCGTCTTTCACCTTCATCAAGAGGCTCTTTAGTTCCTCTTCAGTTTCTGCCACTAGGGTGGTATCATCTGCATATTTGAGATTATTGATACTTCTCCCAACAATCTTGATTCCAGGTTGTGAGTCATCGAGCCTGGCATTTGGCATTTTGCATGATGTACTCTGCATATAAGTTAAATAAGCAGGGTGACAATATATAGCCTTGACATAGTCCTTTCCTGATTTTGAGCTAGTCAGTTGTTCCATGTAAGGTTCTAACTGTTGCTTCTTGACCTGCATACAGATTTCTCAGGAGACAGGTAAGGTGGTCTAGTATTCCCATCTCTTTAAGAATTTTCCAGTTTTGTTGTGATACACACAGTCAAAGGTTAGCGTAGTGAATGAGGCAGAAATAGATTTTTAAAAAAATTCCCTACCTTTTTCTATGATCCAATGAATGAGTACAGGGTAATGAGTACAGTGGTGTTATATTTTTATCTTTTTTTCTCCCCTCCTCCCATATATGACATATTTATTTGGCTGTGCTGGGTCTTAGCTGAGGCACACGGGATCTTCAATCTTCCTTGAGGCATGAGGGATCTTTCAGTAGCGGTGGCTGGGACTTAGTTCCCTGACTAGGGATCGAACTCAGCCTCCCTGTATTGGAAACTAGGAGTCTTAGCCACTGGACCACCAGTTGTTGTTGTTGTTTAGTCGATAAATCATGTCTGACTCTTTGTGACCCCATGGACTGTAGCCCGGCAAGGCACCTCTGTCCATGGGATTTCCTAGGCAAGAGTACTGGAGAGGGTGGCCATTTCCTTCTCTAGGGGATTTTCCCAGCCCAGGGCCTGAACTGGAGTCTCCTGCATTGGCAGGTAGGTTGTTTACCATGGAGCCACGAGGGAAACCCCTGGACCACCAGGGGCATCCCTATATATTCTACTTTTATATTACCTATATCGTATACATATTACCATATGTTTATTTATATCTATAATGTATTTTATCTATCTTTATCTATACTTGTTTGAATGCCCAAAATATCAATACTTCACTTAAAAAACAAGGGGCAGGACTTCCTGGCTGTCCAGTGGTTAAGACTCTGAGCTTCCACTGCAGGGACACGGGGTCAGTCCCTGGTTGGGGAGCTGAGATTGCTCATGGGGCACTGTGTAGCCAGGAAAAAAAAAAAAAAGCAAAACAAAACCACAAGGGGCAGAACAAAGGTATTCATTGCTTTCATGTATGTAGTTCTCTCTCTTTGTCTTTGCATTTTTTTGCGTTGAATTTTTAAACTCTAAAATGAAGCTCCCCCCCCCAATCTCATCATGCCCCTCCCCAAAAGGAAAATCCTGCTGCTCTTTTCATTGTGCAAATACCTGTAAATTAACCTCCTTCCCCCCCAAAGGTCAGCATCTTGTGAACTTTTCTTAACTTCATTTTTTTTTTTAATGCTCCCTTTCCATGTTGAAACTTTGAAGAGTGTCGCAGACCTGTGCAGCTGTGTGGGATTATGGGATTATGCCTGGCGAATCTGGAGAACAGTAAAGAATCCACCTGCACTGCAGGAGACTGGAGAGACAAGAGAGACAAGATTCTATCCCTAGGTCGGAAGATGCCCTGGAGGAGGGCAGCTCACTCCAGTATCCTTGCCTGGAGAAACCCATGGACAGAAGAGCTTGGCGAGTTGCAAAGAGGAGTCCATGGGGTTGCAAAGAGTCAGACATGACCGAGCGACTGAGCACAGCACCGCGTGGCTGGAGGCAGTGAGAAAAGCGGGAGAGAGTGCGGAGAGATGGGTGTGGGGGGCGGGGTGGGGGGGGTGGGGAGTGGGGGTTGGGGGTGTGTGGGGAGGTGGTGGGAGCAGACAGGGCCCGGCCTGGAGGGCTGCAGGGAGAATTTTTTTGCCGGTCCTGAGTGAGATGGGGTCTCTGAACGGGCAGGAGCAGAGGAAGGGCGTGCCCGGTCTCAGGTGCTCACAGGCGCTCTCTGGGGCCTGTACGGGGAACAGATTTGGGGGAGGAAGGAGGCGGGAGTTGGGGTCCCAGGGCGGAGGGACTGCTCAAGTTCAGGAGGGAGATGATGGAGACCATGTCCAGGTGCGGGACCGAGGAGGCAGTGGGAAGTGGGCGAATTCTGGACAGATTCTGGAGTGGATGGGACCTGCCGTCATACCAAACTGGGGAAGGGGTGGAGTCAGAGAGAGGGGTCAAAGATGCTCCTCCCAAGTTTGGAGCCTTAGTATCTGGCAGGACGGAGCTGCCGTCGGCTCGGTCTAGAGGACAGCGGAAGGGAAGATCGCCGAGGGGGGCGCACTCAGGGGATCGGATGTAGAAGGGTGAGAGGGAGGTACCCGTGCACCCTCACTTGGGGAGCTAGGAGGCCGGTGTCCAGGGCACGGACGCCGTACAATGCCGAGAGTTGCCGCCAGAGGGCGAGCGCACCCCATCACACTCGCTGCTCAGAGGGCCGCTGCGGGGACCGGCTCGGCCGCTTCTCATGGCCCCTTGGCTGCAGTCCTCACCTGGGTGCGAGACGGGAGCCTCGCAGATGTCAGGGCCAGGCGACCCCGAGGTCCCAAAGACTAACACGACGCGGCCGGTCCTTTATCTGCCTCGAGCACTCCAACCACCACTCCCCACTGTGCTGCTCCCACCTAGGGTCTCTGCAAAAGTGCCACCTCCACAGAGGGGCCTTCCCTGACCACCCTGAGGGCAGAAGCCCCACCTCCCCAAGGAGGCCTTCCCTGACCACCCTGGGGGCCCCGACCCCTCTAAGGTACATCCCGTTTTAGTCTCTTCCTAACAGTTAAGGGGCTTCCCTGGTGGCTCAGCTGGTAAAATCCGCCTGCAATGTGGGAGACCTGGGTTCAATCCCTGGGTTGGGAAGATCCCCTGGAGAAGGGAATAGCTACCCACTCCAGTATTTTGGCCTGGAGAATTCCATGTTACAGTCCATGGGGATGCAAAGAGTCATTCATGACTGAGCAACTTTCCCATTTCAACAGTTAAGACTCTCAAATCATCTTATTTATCCTGTGTTGCCTGTTTTCTGCAGTTAGTTTAAAGTCAATGCCAGGAACTTCCCTGGTGGTCCAATGATTAAGTTTCTAGCTCCCGGTGCAGAGGGCCTGAGTTTGATACCTTGTCAGGGAACTAGATCCCACATGCTGCAACCAAGAGTTCACATGCTGCAACTAGAATCTGGTGCAGCCAAATAAATAAATGTTAAAAAAAAAAAAAGCCTGTGCCAGTGAAGACTCATTTTCTGTGTTGTCCATTTATAACCCCAGGGTTCAGAATCATTCCTGGCCTCTAATTTGTGCTAGAGGGAAAAAAAAAACCCAAACCAACAATGTGTTCATCATAGCTTACTCATGGTGCTACTGTGTACCAACCTCTGTTTGAAGCTCCTTACATAAATTATCTCCAGCCTTTAGAACAAGCCGTCTAAGTAGAGATTGACTTTCTTTTGTCTTGTTTTTTGGCCACACAACCCAGCTTGCAGAATCTTCTTTCCCCAACCAGGGATTGAATCCCAGCCATGGTAGTGAGAACACAGGAGTCCTAAGCTCTGGACCTCCAGGGAATTTCCCCCAGGTAGGGACTGCTGTTATCCCCACATTACAGAAGAGGAAACTGAGGCCCAGAGAGATGCAGGAACTTGAGACTGCACAGTCAGGAAGTTTCAGTGTCAAGAGTGAAGTCCGAGTTCTTCCTTGGTGGCTCAGTGGTAAAGAATCTGCCTGCCAATGCAGGAGACACCGGTTCGATCCCTGATCCTGGAAGATCCCACATGTCTCGGAGCATCGAAGCCCGTGTGCCACCACTACTGAGCCTGTGCTTCAGAGCCCATGCTCCAGGGCCCGCGCTCCGAAACAAGAGAAGCCTCCACAATGAGAAGCCTGTGCACCGCCACTAGAGTCACCCCTGTTCCCCATGGCTCGAGAAAAGCCTGCACAGCAACAAAGACCCAGCACAGCCAAAAATAAATCAATTTTTTAAAAAAGTTTAAAAAAAACTTAAAAGCTTTAAAAAAAAACCCAACAGAGTGACATCCCAAGATAGTGTTCCATGGTCTAGCTCAGCACAGGTAGGAGATAGCAAACCCACTTTACTGGTCATTTGTCTGCTTAGATTCAATACATTGTCTTTTTTTTTTTTAATTAAAAAATATTTTTTTTAACACCAAAAACATTTTGTCTTGGGGTACAGCCAATTAACACTGTGTTTGGTACAGTGTTTGATAGACTATCACTGACTAGAAAACATGGATGTCACATCTCTAGAAAGAAAACCTGTAGTAGTTCAATTCCCAATATGTACCTTAGTTTTTTGTTTGTTTTTAGTTTTCAAGGGAAACTAAGAATCTCGACCAACTTTTCACTCAGCTGTTCTAGTTTTAAAGGATGAGCTACAGGCTGTGTGTTTTTCTTTACCAACATAGTGCTTATTAAATACTTTTGTACCATGAGTAAAATTTGAGGTGTTTTTGCAAAAAAAACAAAAACAAAAACAAAAACGTGCAGCCTGAGAAGCCCAACTGCAAAGTCTGAGTTTGCTAAAGGGTGAGTGGGGTCCCAATGGTAAAAGAGCTCCTCAGGGAGTCCAGCATTGTGTTTTGAACCCCTGTTTCTACACCGACCCTTCCTGGTCTCCACAGTCTACACACTCACAGCCCAGTCCCCAGATACCCTGCCAGGCTAGGGGGAGGGGTGAGAACCCAGCAGGTAGGGGGTTCACTCTTCTCCCCATTGTAGGTTTGCAGAGGTGCCTTCCAGGCTGCCCAGGTGGGGGGCAAATCATTCAAAGTGGCTCTGGAAGGAGTGCCCTGGTGGTCTGGTGCTTAGGACTTGGTCCTTTCACTGCTGTGCCTGAGTTTGATCCCTGCAGATCAAACTCAGGTTTGACCACAGATCCTTGCACAGATCCTGGAAGCCTTGAAAAAGGGCCAAAAAAAGAAAAAAATGATCTGGAGACCCCAGATTCCAATTACCAGACAGCAGGGATGGCTGCCTAAGGCCCTGAACCTGGTCCCAGACTGACCAACAGACAGACAGACCCATGATCCTCAGCCAGCTCAGCGGGGCCTGGCTGCCCGTAGGTTTGGGGAAGCCCGGACCCTGAGATCTTCCAGCTCAGCCCAGGGCTGCTGCCAATCAGACCCAGTCTCTGGGTCAAGGGGCCCCAGCCTTCCCAGTGCCACTCTTTGCCCTTGGCAGCCAGAAGACCTTCTTGGACTGCACCAAACTGGGTAACTAGGGACAGGCAGGCTGTAGCATGGGCAGGATGTGGCTGCCACTGTTTCTCCGCCACTGGATCCACGGGACGTGGCCTCAGAGCTAAGCAAGCCTTGGCCCCTCACGCAAGTAAGTGTACAGGTAGGAGGAGGAGAGGGCTGGGTCTCAGTGCTGATCGAGCACAGGCCGCGGCACCAGACAGATTGGGTTCAACCTTGCCTGCTTCAGCTGAATGTTTCTAATTTTTAGTTTTCTCTCCCACTCGGGCCAAAGCAATTGCCACCATCTTGGCCCCAGCTTTTGCTTATGGCCACCCTGTCCCCTGAGTCTGTTTTTCCATCTCGTGGCCAGAGGGCATGAAGGATTTTTTAGTTGTGGCATGTGGGGTCTAGTTCCCTGACCAGGGATCGATCCCAGGCCCCCTGCATTGGCAGCATGGAGTCTTAGCCACGGAACCATCAGGGAAGTCCTGCCTTAATCACTTCTGCAGCCCCATCTCTGCTCTAGCACAGCAGAGCCCGGCACACAGTGTTTGCTGAATAAATGAATAGGTAATAGTAGTACTTGTCTTCTCAGGGCTGTTGGGCAGCCTGAATGAGAGGCGTACAGAGAGCATCATCAGCTGCATTCAGCTGGTGCTCCACAAAGGTTCTGGTAATTCCTACCAAGTGTTGCTTATGGCCCAAGCTTTGAAGCTTCAGCTCAGCTTCTGCCTTAGCTGCTGATTTCTGTGTGACCCGGAGCAAGCGGCTTTCCTTTGTGCTTCAATTCCCACCTCTGCAAAAGACAGTTAATAATAATTGAGAACTGAGACTTCCTTGGTGGTCTAGGGGCTAGGACTCTGCACTCCCAGTGCAGAGGGCCCGGGTTTGATCCCTGGTCAGGAAACTAGATCCCACATACCACAACTAAGAGTTTGTGGGCTGCAACTAAAAGAAGATCCTACATGCCGCAATGAAGACCTGGCCCAGCCAAATAAATAAGTATTTTAAAAAAAGATAGTAAACAACTCATGCAAACTGTCTGGGACCATGCCTGGTGGTGCTTTAGTTGTTAAGTTGTGCCTGACTCTTGCAACCCTATGGACCGTAGCCTGCCAGGCTTCTGTCCAGGCAATGGGACTTTCCAGGCAAGAATACTGG